ATTATTTTTCAAGAGCTATGACGTGTATTTGATGTACTTTAAAGTAAATAAATGATGCAAATCTGCATCACTTATTTTGTTTACAGCTTAGTTTTCTAAACAGCAAAGGCGTCTGGTCAATTGCATATCCCATGTTTGCGTTCTTTTGGTATCTTCTGTCACTAAAGTTGTCCTGGGTTGTTATATTTCCCTCCTTGCAGTCGCTTGTAAGTATATTGCGGTTTGCATCTATGCTTGGCAAAACTTCTACGGTTGCTCTACCCAGTTGCAAGAGATTGGATTCCGCAGTGGGTCTCCCGGTATTTAATATGTGATCTCTAGTATTATTCCAACGTTTAAAATGAACGTTTCACTTTCGTTTGATGTTGTTGCAGGAACCCGGGTTAAGTCATGCAAGCCCAGATGTATTTTATCCAAAACAATTTTACTACGAAAATTAGATTAGAATACTGTCAACAGAAGAACCGCGTAGCGTGCATGCTCAAAAATCAAGTAATACTATTTACCGTGTGCGGGAATTTGTCTTAAAATGGATACCAGTTAAAAAATCGGACGTGCTTTGCAGGTTTACTGCTGTTGAGTGCAACTGAATGAATGATTCTCTCAGATTTTCATTTCTGCAATATAATTCTGCTTGTTAAGATCAACCTTATAAATTCCTCTTAAGTGTTCGCACATACTTGAAGGCAATTTTCGTTCGACTGCTCTTACATGCAAGTTGTATTTTTTCAGTCATTTACGCGCAATCTGTGATGAAACCGGCATAATTGGGGTTTGAGATCCTTCGGTGCAAGCGTTCAACCTAGCATCAACCGCCTAAAAAATTGCAGAGTTCGAACGCTCATTACGAACTGTCATATGCCGTCGCGTATGAATTGTCGGTACCGTTTTGTGTTCCCATCAGTTTTTTGCATGCTACCGAAACATCTTCCTTGAAAAGCTAAAACAGCTTTGAGGCTCGTGTCTGGTAAACGGTCACAACTTAGAGCCGCTATCTAGTTTCGATAGGCTTACCGACAGACGTATTTCTATTAGAGAAAACTGCTGTAGAATATTGTCTGTGTTCTCTAGAGGTGACGTTGAACAGATTGGGGAGGGGGGGAAGGGGCAGAGGAGAGGAGGAGAAGACGAACCTGAGTAATTAGAGCTGCGCTTTAAGTTTTCCACTCTTCACCAACAATATTTCAACATTGGCCACTCAACAGATTTTTGTCTGGCTACCAATCCTTTTGTCTCGCCTGGCTTTTACGGTTAAAATAAGGACCTTTGCTTTTAAACACGCTGTTAACTTTGATTTTTTTCACATTTTAATAAAGTGTCACACCTCGCACTTCCTTAAAGGCTTAGGTTTTTAGTATTTTATCCACTAACCACGTACTTTAGTTAAATTTGACCCTCTAATCTCCGACTTTATTGGCTGCAGGAACTCTGCCAACCGCACTGGGAAGTACTTACCTGGGTTTAAATAGTCGACCTGATTTAAGTAGCCGAGCTGCGAGGATCAGCTTTATTTTGCTAATGGCAGAGGACCGGCCAGTGCTTTTACTCCATCCTAAATGACACTCTTCAGTCGCTTCCTGTTGAGCAAACATAATTTTCTTTCCTACGTTTTACGACAGTTCGGACATCGCGAACGATAATATAAACCGTAGCATGTCTGATGCACTGACTGTGAATTGTGCTGAATGAGCTTAAAGTGATAGTAGACCTGCCCAGCATCTAACACGCTCTCTCCTTCCCCATCTACCTGACCCAGGTGTCGGGACAGATAGAAAGGCCAGAGGCGAGACCGGGTGCAATGACTGAAAAGAGTAAACAGCCCGCCAATGCCTGCCACACACGCTTCGTCTGCCCACGATGACCAGGTTTTCACACAAACACGAAATATTAGACCTAGATCTCATCCGAGCGAAGTTGCCTTAGAGGTAACACCCAGAAAAAGTCAGGGCAGTGTGATCCTCCACTCTGAGAAGAAAGAGCTGTCCCCTCAGTTGTCAGCTTTCCGTGTAACTACTCTTGGCGCACTGGTATAATTTGACAGCTCATCAAATGGTTTATAGTCTGGAGTATGTGCTGAGTACTGTGGCTATTAAGTCCCCATAGTCGACCTCACTCTTCCCCTACCAACCACCAGTCCACTGTCCAAACCGGTCAGCCATCTTATGCGGGCTTCGAGCTCAAGTGGCTGGCGCATAATAAATCTGTGCTTAAACTTGCCACCACACCCCCACATCCGGCATTTGTCAGACGATGCGCTCACTTAGTGCCTGCCGTGTCATAACCTAGCCCCCGTGTTTTTCCAGAGCATCTTTCGCCTGGCCCGTTTTAGGTACACTTCTACGTCTTAATCACGTCAAGACAGACTAGCAGCAGTATGGACAGGCACATGCAATACAACTTTCTAAAGTTTCACTCGGATGGAAGACTGCTGTCTCCGGGTGTCAGGATTTCATGTGGCGATACCAATTCTAGAGGCACAAATGGCGGATTAAGACTTCCTTAAATGTATATATTCATTGTTCTCGTCAAAGAGTGTACTAAGAAACCATGGCACTGTTACTGTCTGATCTTCGCATAGATTGACAACCGAGGTCTCCAAATTTTGTCCGACGAGGTTGAATTGCCTGTAGCATGACGTTACCCGTAGGGACTGCGTTAAATGAAATCCATGCTCACGAGGCCGGTGCAAATGTTTATCTTGATACTCGTTTGACGTGAGTGTTCCCTTTCTGAAAAGAAGTGCAACCAACACTCCTGTTTTTAGTTACAAGAGGCTGTTGTTTTGCGACAAGACCTTACATTAATTTTTTTCTTCAATTAGCCCAACGCAGTGCATGGAGCGACACCGTCTGGCGTTCAGTTTGATTTGCTCCCCGAGCCTCAACCGATAGAGCTGCCGTCTGACGAGTATGTGCCTTTTGCTATTGCTTGTGGGCGTGCCCACACACTGGTCGCTTGTAAACCGCGAGCATCCGACGGCCCTCACCGCATCTACAGTTTTGGCAATAACACCTACGGTCAGTGTGCACGACAGGTGATCAGGGACGAGATTTATTCCTCTGAGAATGCCACCATCACACAGGTCCCTGCTCCGGAGACCCTGACTGCTGTCAAACAGGTTTGTAGCAGCTTTAACCCGCTAACTATGAGCCACGTACTTTTACTTTGTGCTTCTGGCGACGACGACTATCCCGGATCTAGGTGGGATCACCACTTTGACTGATGCCTATGAGAAAGCACCGGCTTTCAAAGTGTCCTCAGGTCTGTGGGCCCAAAGTATGGTAATTCTTATTGGTCCAATACTAGGGAGACGGCCTTGTACTGAAGGAGAGACATTTATGTGACAATGATAATGATAGAATGACACTTCAAAGAAAAGGGAGACTGGAATAGTCATTTTTGGACTCTTAGCCGTCATCAGTCAGCCATACCCAATCCCTTGAGTGCAGCTCCTGAGACTTGAACCCGCGAGGCGTATGTAGCGCATGTTGGCCGAGGATCATGGTACTGGTTTCCCCGTCGTATTGAGATGCGTTTTCGAGTGTCTGAACAGGCCAGTCGTAGGTGTCTGTCAGACAGTCATATCTGCACAAGGCGCTACTCGTTGAAAGGCTGGCATGCTGTCGTTAATGAAATATCTTGGAGTTATGCTGTACCATATTTTGTATTACTAGTTAAATAGTATTTTATAAACGAAAAACACTTCAGAATTTCAGTTCAACTTTCGTGAGATAGCGCATATACTGTAGTTTACCTTGGTTTACGACAGAAAATAAGCGAAAAGCTGTCATTCAAGTCTGGATAGTCCATCACCTGCGAGGTCTCTAGACCGGAACTCCAAGGCAAGCCTGGACGCCATTATTCTGCCCAGCAGTCAGGCTGAACTCATAGGCTTCATTTTCAGGAATCCCGGTCGCAATAGACAGACCGAAGCCGTTGCTCAACTAGAAGAACTTAGGAACCCAGGTTCAAAACCCAGCTTCTTCCCCTCCCCCCTGTCTGTGAGCATCTGACATTGAAACAGCCATTAGAGGTTTCTCTGGTTTTCGTCATTAACGCTTTTTAACAGCCATGCACAAAATTCATCTTTACCGGCAATTAATTCTTCCAGGGGTTTTCTTTCAGGTCGTCTGTGGTCAGGACCACAGTCTCGTCCTCACTGAAGACGGTCATGTCTTTTCTGCTGGTCTCGGTACCGATGGCCAGACGGGGCTGGGCAACACAGACTGTGTCGACCAGCTCACTCGTGTCAGAGGAGCCATCAAGGACGTTTTTATTGAGTACGTCTCTTTTCATGCTCTTGTCCCACACACCCTCTACCCCGTCCAAGGAACGCTTCCGCGCCTTTGCGCGCCCGGTTTTGATTTGGCCGCTCCGGATAGCGAGCTGCGAAACTGAGCTAAGGGGTGGATGAAAAATACTTTTCCCAAATGTCTTTCAGGAACAGACTGATTTGTCCTCTCGATATTGTCGCAGCGAGTTTTTACTGTCTCTTTTGAGGCAGAGTTGATGTACTTCACTTGAACTGTAATCCTCAGGCAGCGGTAGGCAAATACCACCAGTTTTTGGCCGTCTTTCATGAGCACAGTCCACCATTCAGTAGTTAACCGTCTGAGCAGGATTTGTTCGGGGTCAATATTGTTCTTACTCTGTGCATTCGCCAACAGACTCAACCCAAGGAGCTTTAGCTCATATACTTTTCAGCTTGACAACTGTTAATCCTAATACGGGTTTTTTTTTCCTGGTCAGGGTCGTAGTTTGAAAACACTTTGGTCTTTTCAGAGATTGTGGATAGGCCGGCCAATTTACCGACTTCATTTACCCGTGTCACTGTTGTCTCTAGGTCAACAGTGCTTGAGACCAGCTGGGCGGTAGCATTAGCGTAGTCGCAATCGGTCAGGTGTCCAGGTGCAGGCTCAACACGTTCAAAACTGTGTAGGGACCTTCCCAGAATCCTTTCAATGACGTAGTTAAACATACTGGACAACGGAATACAACCTTCAGTATTCTAATCTTCTCATAAATCGATGCGCTTACTTGAAGTGAATCCTTTGTAAGTCGTCCAGACCTGAGTTTGGTTATGGTGGACTGACCACTGTTAAAAACTGGAAATAGCCATTGCAGTGTCAATTTTCTTTGTGGGTATTACACCCCGTACAGCGTAATCATTTTAACCGGCCGTACGACCATAATTTGAATATCTGATCAGCGATGTTTGGGACAGTGCTGCAAACATGCATTGATGACAAGTATGCGGTCCTGGTTAACAAATGTCAGCATTTCCTCGCCTTTGTCCAATCTAGATCCAAGCCCAAAGCGGCTAATTAGGTGATTGTTTGGAGAGCCTCATTCTATTTTCACCATTCCAGTCTACAGCAACCGTCAGTAGATCACGGCAAGGTCGTCTTTCAATGAACTTTTGCAGTTGCGAGTACACGATTCTTTTGTCGCGGTAATTGGTAGTTGGGGTTGGCGCGTATACAGAGACGACGGGATTATTCGTCAAGTTCAGTTGCCAGCCCATCATTGCTTGGTTCCAACTTAAGTAGTGCACGGTCCACTTGTTGCGTGAAGGTGATGGCCACCCTGTGTCTATCAGAAGGGTCACGTGAGCCGCTGTGAAATCGGAATTGACTCTCTGGATCTTGTTTTTTTTCAAACCTTCAATATTTATCATATATGCGGACAGACATTGAGTCGTTTTACTGACGAATTAGCGTAGGGTTTAAATGATAACTGCTCACGGAGTCGTTAACGGAGCCTGTGGATAGAAGTGAGGGTGGGAGCTGACGTGAACAAAGCGGGGCCATTTCAAACGCAAATATGAATCAAGACATTGTCAAGATTAAAATCGCAAGGAATAGCGACAAAAACCTTGGCAAATCAGCTCAGGAACACGCAAACCAAACATATGATGTCCCTATAAATCATTATGAAAATCTGCATTTTCAGGCATCCATCACCTCCATTCTAGTCTAAAACTGTGCATCGAAGATAGCCTGTCTATGATTTTGTCAGTTGACTTAATTCTTAATAGCAATCCGAACCACTGAACAACATTCACCCTCTATTTCTAGGCAACTCAGCTCTCGTGGGGACACCGTTCTGGCACTGTCTCGTTGTGGTCGCCTATTTGCATGGGGCAACAACGAGTATGGCCAGATCTGGACAATTCCCGATGAGATCCAGGTTATCGAGCCCGTAGAATTGCCTCTGCGTGAATATGTGGACTCAATGGCACACCGCATATCGCCCTTCCCCGACAGCACGGATTTTAAACTTGGTAACTTAATATCTATCGCATCGGCAGGATCGATGTGCGCCGTGGTGGACGATTTTGGACAGGCAAGTTTAAAACTACTACTACCGCGCACTGCCACCGTTTCTGTTTTTTTGCCCCAGCCTTCTAGTAACACCCCTATCCTTTGTTACAGGTGCTCGTTTGGGGTTTTGGTTGTCTGGGCCTCGGTCCCAAAACGTACCACTGTGACCGTCCGCGTTTGATCCCACCGGCCCTGTTTGCCCCAACCCTGCCTCGGTCGGAGCACCGAATTGTGGAGGTTGTGCCAGGCCTGCACCACTTCATCACACGATCCAATTCCGGGTTACTCTGGTCCTGGGGTGCCCCCCGCGGTGCTGTGGGCTGTCTGGGCTTAGGGAAACTGCACAAGGAGGGTCATCCCATCTCTGCCAAGCGTTCTGACGTTGAAGTTCCCAAAGCGGCCCAGACCTATCCGGCTCAGATCTCCCTGCCCGTAGAGGTGCTGCAAGTCTCCTGCGGTGTTGATCATACCCTTGTTCTGGGCAAAAGATTCGGCTAGTGCTGTGTGCACTTTTTAAAGCACACTTAGAGTAGATATGTATATTTTTTACCTGAAATAAATATTTTGTACGAAAACTGACTTCTCAGCACGCTGGGAGCAATTTCTTCATTTTAGTCTGCGACGCGTAGTCTCACCATGCTTGGTTAAAAGGAGCGATGTCCTAAACCCATAAAACCAACGACGGTTTGACCGTGCCAAGCGGCGACGTCTACGCATAGGGTGGGCGCAGCACCGGTGACCTGTGCGCGAGTAATTTTATAGAGTGCCAGACTTTCGCTTCATCTCCTACACCCTCCTTTTTCGCTCATCTTTGCCCCATGGCAAGACCTTGTCCGGACCAGCAGGGTTAGCCACGGGCGCGGTGACTTACAAGGTTAAAGGGTCCGCCTGCGCGTGCCATACACCTCCTGGTCCCAGCTGCATTTACCAGGTTCAATACGGCTGACCTAGTGAAAATACCGAGTGGGCTAAGTTAATAAGGACCCATGGAAGGTTGTATTTCAATTTTAAGAGAACTGATTTATCTCGTCATTTGGCAACCTTCAAAGTCCTGACTTTTAGCGCGTCGGTTTATTGTAACGAGTAATGCGCTGATTTGCTATCGTAATGAATTCCTCACTGTCGGCCGTACTCCCTTTTTGTTCTTCAATGCACCAGCTGACTGCCTGAGCCAAAATAACTTTCCGCTCACATGTGACGTTGCGCTCGCCATATCGGCGGTGGTAAGGCAGATCTTCCGTTTAATGCAGGAGGGAGCCATGGTCACAGCGAAAGCCCTGTTGACTGTGAAGTTCTGACTTGCAACTTCTTCGGTGATCTTGATATTGCTTGGTATTTTGCGTCTAAGTGGGCGGGTCTACCTGTAGATGTTATGGGGACGCGAACGGTGACGCACTCAGAGCCCAGAGCTGGAAGTGCAC